AGGTGTCCCTGCCCGTGGCAGGGGTGGCACTGGATGGGCTTTAATGTCCCTTCCCACCCAAACCATTCCATGACTCCTTCATTCTGTGATTCCCCTCTCAGGCAGAGCAGAGCCCAGGCTGACTGTTGGGGTCCCTGAGGGGTGTGCAGGGCTTAGAGAGGAATTAAAAGAGTCTCAAACTCATCAGAATTGGTTATTGACACAACAACCACCGAACCCCAAGTGCTGGTTTAGAATTTCTCTCCTAAACTGAGTTTTCTGGCAAACTCATCTGATCCCAACCCCAAAGTCCCCTTTGTGAAGGAATTTCACTGGGGACTGGGTGTATAAAATACGTATAAATGCAATAAGGTTGATTTTTTTCTTGTGGTGGACAAATAGTGGGAGATTCTGAAGGGCTTTAACCTCCTGCTCCGTGTGCTCCCTGAGCTGGGGGTGTTCCAGCTGGGTTTGTCCCAGATCCCAGGGAAAAGCCTGGAGCATCAGGTAGGGTGTTTTTGGGGCTTTTTCATCTGTGATGAGGAGTTGCAGGGAGAGTTTGGGCACAAGAAAATCCACGTGGGTCCTGCAGAGCACTGGCTGGAGCGGTGTGTGGGGAGATCTGTGTCCTGGGGAGTGGAGTGGAGGTGGGATGGGTGGCACTGGGGATCCCTGGAGGTCTGTGACACCTCCTGCTCCTCCCAGGGTCGCCCCAAGCCAGGCCAGGTGTGACCCCCGTGTGTGGAGGATGCTCCAGGCTGCTCCAGCCCAGTCTCCATCCCAGGCCGTGGCTCCAGAGACTCTCTGAGTGGCAGTGGGATCACCCAGCAGCACCTGGGGTACGTGGCACTCCTGATAAATCCCCAAATTCCTGGGAAGGGGCTGGGCTGGGGTCCTGCTCCCTGTGACAGTCCCTCTGTGCCCGCCCTGCTGAGAACAGCAGTGCAGTTATTGCCCAGGATTAATCACAAAGTGGCTGTGTTTCCATGGAAAATGGGACACCGGAGTTTCTGGGAGCCTCAGGAGGGTTTGTTCACCCTGGGGATTTCTGTGGCTGGAGCAGCAGCTCATCCTGACGTGGCTCTGCCTGACTTTGGGGAAAACATGGAATTGTTTTCCTCTGCACAGAGCAGGTTTGGGCCCAAATCCACAGACTGTGCACAGGAGCAGCCAAAGCCCCTTGGTGGTTGGGGTGTGCCTGGAGTGCTCTGGGGCATCTCACAGTGCTTTGATATGTCCCAAAACCTCCCCTGTCCCCCTGATTCCAGCACTAATAAAGCTCCTGTCCCACTCTGGCTTCTTGTCCTGGGCTCAGGATGCTTGTGGGTCCCTTCCAGCTCAGGGCATTCCGTGATTCCTTCCCCCCAGGGTTCCTGTCCGTGCACAGGGCAGGCAGTAAAGAAACCAGGAGATGGGGAGTGGTGCTTGTGACTTCGTTGTGTTGAGAAATGGGATCTCCCTGGTGGTGCCAGTGGGAGATCCGTCAAAAACAGGGATTTAATGTCATTCCCATGACTTATTTCCAAAGTCTCTTGGTTTATTTTTTTTGTGCTTATACCCAATTTAGTGTGGTTTTAGGAATTCCCAGTGCACAGGGAATGTTGGGACATGTGTGGCTGTGGGGACCCCCCAGCGCTGCAGCTGAGCACCCTCTGAGGGAGCCTGAGGGGTCTCCAAGGTTTTAATTCCAGTTTAGCTCCAAGTGACCTAAAACTGGGGCTTTCTCCCCTTTTTGGCAGCATCTGTCCAGGCTGAGAGGCTCCACACAGCCAGGGAATCCCTGTCCTTTGGGGCCACCAGGGCCTGGATTGGAACAGAAAACGGGTTTGGGTTTTCACAATGGTGGAGTCGCCATCCCTGGAGGGGTTTGGGTTGGATACTGGGAAAATTCCCCCTGGAAAGGGCTGTCCAGCCCTGGCACAGCTGCCCAGGGTGGGGGGAGTCCCCATCCCTGGGGGATTTAACACCCTGTGCATGTGGCACTTGGGGACACGGCCAGGGGTGGCCTGGGCAGAGCAGGTGGACCTGAGGGCTCAGAGTGGTTCTCCAGCCTGAGGATTCCACGGTTCTGTGATTCCATGGCTGTGTTCAGCACAGGTTGCCCAGACCAGCTGTGGCTGCCCCATCCCTGGATGTGTCCAAGGCCAGGTTGGACAGGCTTGGAGCAGCCTGGGACAGTGGGAGGCAGGGGGTGGCACTGGATGGTCATTAATGTCCCTTCCAACCCAAACCATCCCATGATCCTACGAAATTGTGTTTCTGTGGGAAAAATTATCTCATGCTTCAGGTTTGACGTGGAAAACTCCGACTGGGGAGGAGGGAGAAGGAGCTGTGTGGTATTTGTTTATTTTTGAACAAAGAACTGCTCTTCTGCTCCACCTGGGAGCAAGGCCTGGCTGGTATTTCCTGCTATTCTCCTTGGTTTGGGTCTGTCCTGCTGTGCCCAGGGCTCTGTGGGAAGAGCAGTGGTGAGTTCCCATCCTCTGGGGGGGGGGTATCCCAGGCCCCCCCGTTCCTGGAGCTGCCAGAGCACTCACCCTTCCTCCCTGTCTGAATTCCTCATGAAATTCTGTGGCTCTTTCCATGTTCTCCTTGCACTTGGAGGGAGGTTTCTTTAATTCGAGTTCCCTCTTGGCATTCCAGCCCCTCCTTGGAACACAACTGCCGTGGGGTGAGCACCCTCCAAATGTTTGTGCACCAGGCCAGGGCTGTGTCCCAGTCCAGGCTGCTCCCTGGGTCTGGGACTGGCTGCTGGGGGAAGGAACAGCAGAAATCCTCTAGGGTTTAGAAATTAGGAAGAAATTCCTCCCTGTGAGGGTGGGGAGGCCCTGGCACAGGTGGCCCAGAGAAGCTGTGGCTGCCCCTGGATCCCTGGAAGTGTCCAAGGCCAGGTTGGACGGGGCTTGGAGCAACCTGGGCTGGTGGAAGGTGTCCCTGCCCATGGCAGGGGGTGGAGTGGGATGGGCTCTGAGGTCCTTTCCCACCCAAACCATTCCAGGATTCCATAAACAGGTGACAGAGGTGATATTTCCTCCCAGATTCCCAGGGAAGCACTGGCAGCTTCCGATGCCAGAGGAGGTTCTTCCCTCTGGGGATCAAATCACTCAGATTTTCTAAAAGGGAAGAATTTTGCTTTAATACTTACCATGGAATCACAGAATGGTTTGGTTGGGAAGAGACCTTAGATCCCAACGATTCCAACCCTGCCATGGGCAGGGACACCTTCCATTAGCCCAGGTTACTGCAAACCCCATCCACCCTGGCCTTGGACACCTCCAGGGGTGGGGAAGATACTGGAGAGGACCCTGTGGATCCTGAGTGGAGCAGGGAGCCCCAGCATGTGCTGGGCCTGGGAGAGACATGAGGGGGAGTCTGAGGGCAGGGGGGGGTTTATTTTGGGGTGTCTTTGTCCCACACCGTTGGGTTTGGGTGCCACGGGACCCCCCCTGCTCCCAGTGCACATCTGTGCTGGGGGTTCAGCTGCTTCGGGTGTGTTCCACTTGCTTTGTGTCTGGACAGTGCAGGCTTTGGCACTGAGTGTCCTGGTTGTCCCTGGAGCTGAGGGGAAAGGGAAGGAGCTCGTTCTCTTTGTAGCTTTTTGCAGACTTTTGGGTGGATTTTGTGTGTGTGACATTTCCCTTAAACCAGCATGGAGAGGGGGAGCAGCTGGAGCTCCGGTGAGCAGCGGGGCTCTGGGGTGGCTCCAGTGAGAAATCCCCATTTCCCAGCTGGGTTTGGTGTTGTTTATCCCAGCTGTGTGTTGTTAAAGCTCATTCCCTTCAATACCATTGCTGTGTCCTCGATGGCCACCAGCTTCATCCTGAGTCCTTCCTCTCCCTGAGCGTGCCATGCTTGGTGCCATGGCTGCTTTTCTGGGGCACATCCATGGTTTCCTCACTGTCCTCCTGGCTCCTGAAGCCACGTTCCAGCTCAGGTGCCAGTGTTGGCTCACTCGTCCAGCCTGGAGGAGGCTGAGGGGACACTCGTGAGGGGCAGCTCCGACCTCTGCTCCGTGTGAGCAGGGACAGGATCCGAGGGAGCCGCTGGAGCTGTGCCAGGGCAGGCTCAGGTTGGATCTCAGGCAAAGATTCTTCCCCCAGAGGCTGTTTGGGCACTGCCCAGGCTCCCCAGGGCAGTGGGCACAGCCCCAAGGCTGCCAGAGCTCCAGGAGGGTTTGGACAACACTCTGAGGGACAGGGAGGGATTGTTGGGGTGTCTGTGCAGGGCCGGGAGCTGGACTGGGTGATCCTGGTGGGTCCCTTCCAGCTCAGGACGTTCCATGGCTCTGTGGTTTGGGGGCGGTTCCGTGTGTCGGGGTCCCGGGGGGACACGCTGGGCACGGGATCCTGGGATGGGGGTGTTGGGCAGTGCCCGGTCCTGGTGGCTCCCAAAGCCCCGTTAGCACGATCAGCGCCGGGACATTAATTTGGGATCAGCTCAGCCAGGAACAGGACAATTAGTGATTGTTAACAACGCCCCTAATTAACCCCTTGGGCTCCGCTCACCTGTACCTGGGGGGAGGTTGGCACTGCTCCGGGGGGCTGTTTTTCCTCAAATTCCGCCGTGGAGGGAAGAGCAGGACATGGCTGGGGGGGGACAAGCCTTGGCTGCGTGCGGGCACACCTTGGCTGTGTGCGGGCATACCTTGGCTGTGTGCGGGCACACCTGGGCTGTGCGGGCACACCTGGGCTGTGTGCGGGCACACCTGGGCTGCGTGCGGGCACACCTTGGCTGTGTGCGGGCACACCTGGGCTGTGTGCGGGCACGACGCCGCGGTGACGGCCGGGGGGTCCCGGTCGGGGGAAATGCGGGGTGTCCCTGCCCGGTGCCCGCAGCGGGAGGAGGCTTGGAATGCCGTGGGAGCCGTGGCCGTGCCCTGGCCGAGCCCGCTCCCGCTCCTGCTCCTGCGGGGAGCGTTAGGACCCAGCGAGCCGCCGGCGCGGTGACAAGTCTGGAGCAGCACTGGCGCAGAGTGGCTCCATCGGCAGCGCTGGAATTCTCTGTATCCCTCCCTCGGAGCATCCTCGCCCAGAAAAGGGCTTTTCCCCCTCTGTGCCGCCCGGCGGAGCCCCGGGAGGGGAGGGACGCGCGCGGGGATGCTGGGATCGGCCGGGACGCTGGGAAGCGCCGCTGGATGAGCTGAGAGCGTTGGCTGGGATTCGGGAATCTCGGGAGCAGCATGGCCCAGGGCAGGAGGCACGCGTCCGGCCGGGTAAGGGGGCTCCCCGGCTCCTGTCGCGACCCATCGCGGTGCCGTGGCAGCGAAAATCCCTGGATTTGTGCCGAGATCTCGATTGTGCTCCCTGCGCTCCCGCATCCCTGGAATGTGGCACCTCCCTCGCCGACAATGATGCTGGGGGGGGGATGCTCCGGGCTGCACCAGGGCCGTGTCCTTTGGCCGGAGTTACCTGCCCGTGCCGGGAATCAGCCCCGGCTGATTCCCCCGGTTAATTACCCCCGCTAATCCCCCCGGCATCGCGGCACAGCCTTCCCGGGGCTCGGGCACAGCCTTCCCGGGGCCGCTCGGCACAAAGATTCCGGGTGTTTTCCTCCCTGCGGCGGGTGTTCCCTCCCTCCGGGCCGCTTTTCCAGGCTGCACGGGAGCGACGCCGGAGCTTCCGCGGGCCTGGCAAGCGCTTCCAGGTTTTTCCGTATTGCAGCTGCCCCGGGGCTGTGCGGTGCCAGCGGGCCCCCGGCCCCCCCGGCCCGGCCTTTCCCGGGAGTTTGTGTCCCTCGGGCCGCGGTGACATTGTGTCCCGGCCCCGCTGGGCACCACGTCTGGGCCTCTCTGTGCCAACTTGGCAGAGGGACTCCAGGCTGGGGCCGGGGAGGGCAGACCCTTCCCACCGCTCCACGGGACCCCAGACCCGCCGTGGGCACCGTGCCCTGCTGTGGGATGTGCCAGGCCTGGGGCCGGGGGATCTGAGCTGTGGCTGAAGGGATTTGGCTGCCGAGGGAGCAGCTGCCACCTGGGAAAGGCTCCGGGCTGGGAAGTTGCTTTGCCCACCCTGGGAGGGGCTGTGGGGGCAGGTGGGGGGCCTGAGCTGCCTGCCCCCCAAACCTCCCTGTGTTCCGGGGGGGGCATGAAGGGATGGAATTCCAACCTGAGTCCTGGCAGCTCTGTGGTGACACCGTGGTGGCTGTCGGTGTGCCCGGGGGCTCCCGGGGGTGGGGGCACAGGGAGGGAGCTGGGCACTGGCTCCAAGGGCCCATGGAGACATGGCTCGGCCTGCGGGAGCAGTGGCAGGACTGGGGGATCCTGGGGGTGCCGGGGGGTCCTGGGGGTGCCGGGGGGTCCTGGGGGTGCCAGGGGATCCTGGGGTGCTGGGGGGTCCCACGGTAACGTGGCACACTGCAGGCAGGGCACTGTGAGCAGGTTATCCGTGCTTAGCTCACATGGATTTTGGAATGGGCGCTGCAGGCACTGAGGCTGTGCCAGCCCTTCCTGGGGCTGAGGCCACTGGCTGCCCTGGCCGTGTGCCTGGAGGGTTTTGGGGACACTGTGCCCAATGTCACAGTGCCCAGAGACACCCACACCCTCCTCATTTGGCTTTGTGCTCCCCAGCTGGAGTCCAGTGCCCCCATGGTGCTGGGAACCTCATCCTGGTGCCACCATGGGGTGCTGGGGCCTCTCTCAACCCCGGGGTGATCCCTCCTTCCCATGGGATGGTGTGGCAGTGCCACGTGCCATCGACTCGCTGCTGGCCAGCCTTAAACCCAGAACTGTTCCCGAGTCTTTCCCTGTTCCAGCCCTGCTGGGTCACCCCTGGAATGTGGATCTCGTCAGAGGTGGCTGCTGGGCTCAGGATTCTCCTGAAACTTGTGATCTGAGCTCTGAGTGACAGTTTGAGGCTCAGTTAGTCTCACCTGCCAGCTGAGCCTGGCTGCTGCAGGAATGCACTGAGTATTCCCGGGGTGATCCGCTGGGATGGAGCAGAACACTGACACTGTCGTGCTCGGGGGAAACACGGGGATGACCCAAATCGCTGGGAATTCATCCCCTTTTCAGTGGCTCACAACCAGGATCTCCATACAGTGGAGCAGACGGTCTGTGGATGTGTGTAATGCTTCAAAAAGGGGGGAGAATTGAAAAATCGGGATTTCAGAGCGGTGCCAGGCGGGAAGTTGTGGGGAGCAGTGCCCTGGTGGCAGCACAGCCACGGGCTCGTTCCTCACCTGGAGCAATATCCCTGTGAACAGGTGTCCTGGAGCAGGACAGGAGCTCCAGGGTGTGGGACAGGCTCCTCATGGGCTGGTGGGCTCATCCAGCCTGGGACTGTCCTGCTGGAATCTGCCCCAGTGGTGGTGGCTGCTCCGGAGGCTCGGCATTCCCGGGTGCTCCTCTGGCTGCTCCGGAGGCTCGGCATTCCCGGGTGCTCCTCTGGCTGCTCCGGAGGCTCAGCATTCCCGGGTGCTCCTCTGGCTGCCCCGTCCCCACCACCTGCCCTGTGCCCCCTCAGATGTCCCACCTGGTGCCCCGGGGGGTGACTGTGGGTGCAGCAGCGCTGCCTCCACCAGGACTCCCCACATTCCTCATTTACTGGGATTTAGGGGCTTGTTCCCTGTCCGTGTGCCGGGAGCGGTGACGGGGCTGTCACTGTGAGTGGCCCCCGCCGTGTGTGTCCAGCCCTTCTCCCTTCCCGTGTGTTCCCACAGCTCTGCTCCTCCATCCTCTTCCCTCACCATCCGTGCTCACCCCGTGCTCAGGACTGGGGTACCCAGAGCCCTGGGGTATCCAGAGCCCTGGGGTGTCCCACTGGGAAGGTCAGAGCGGCAGAGGGGATCCATGAGGAGCCGGCACATCCCTGGAGACCCCAGGAAGTTGTGGGCTGTGTCCCCGGCTGCCGTGGGGCTGTTGTGCCCTGGTGTCCCCTCGGTTGGGGGCTGTCCCTCCCCGCTCCTCCCTCCACAGCCGGACAGGGATGCCGGGAGTGACCACGGCTGGGCACTGGGCTCTGTCCTCCCATCCCTCCTGGAGTGGCCATCGGGTCCCCAGCCACGGTCACCTGGCTGGGAAGGTGGGTGGGAATGTGCATCCCACCTGCTTCCAGCCTGGACAGCTCCTCCTCTTTGTTCTGGTGTTGTTTTGAATCTTCACGGGAATTCCAGCCTGGGGTTTATCCCTTGGACAGGAGCTGTCCTCATGCTGGAGCAGCACGCTGGTCCCATGGATTGATTTCTGATAACTGGAAACAACAGGTGGAGACCCATTGCCTTGTCCTAAGGGATGGCATGGGAGAGTTCTGTGCTCTCCTGCTTTCCCAAACGTGAAGGACTCGGGAAATGTTTCTGTGAAATTAGTGCTGGTTGGCAACTGTCCCATCAGGGACAGGCTGGGAGAGCTGGGAATGTCCACCCTGGAGAGGAGAAGGCTCCAGGGAGACCTTAGGGCCCCTTCCAGTGCCTAAAGGGGCTCCAGGAGAGCTGGAGAGGGACTGGGGACAGGGCATGGAGGGCCAGGACACAGGGAATGGCTTCCCATGGACAGAGGTATCCCCAGGGTTTGGGGTGTCTCACACTCCGATGGATCCTGCCTGCCTGCAGGTGCCCCTGGGAAACAGAGACGAGGAGGATAAAAGCTTCTGACATCGCTGAGCAGGAACTTTTCGTTTGACTGGGAATTCTGGCTCTTCCTTTGGGCTTTTCTTTGGGCTTCTTGTTTTCTTGGAGCTCTGCTCTCGCTTTCCATAACACGTGGGACACGATTTTCCAGGTGCAGGTGTTGGCAGGATGCTGCTGCAGCCCTGGCAGCTGGGAGGAGCCAGAACCTGGGGACACGTTTGGGTCTGGAGCAGAAATTTTGCCTTTGAGGTTTTGGGTCTGTTTGTTGGGTGATGGATTTGGGGTTTTAACACGAGAGTGTTTTGTGCCTTTGGTTCCTCCCGGTTGTGTTTGATTTCTCCCAGTTTTGTTTGATTTCTCCCGGTTGTATTTGGTTTCTCCCAGTTGTGTTTGGATGGAACATGGAATTCAGGCCTGTGGAAAACTGACATCCCTGGTTTTAGTCCCAGAACTCCTCACTCAGCATTCCGACCCCGGGCAGTGACGTGCAGGGGGAGAGGATGGTTTGTTGGGGTTTCCTTGGTTCTTCCACAGGCTGAGAATTCCTTGATTCCCCCAGAGCCCCCGTGGTGTCCAGCTGTGGCTGAGGTCTGTCCCCACATCCATCGGCTCCGCAGGGCCCTTCCCGGCCGTTCCCTGCCGTGCTGGGTGAAAGAGCCTCTGTTTTCCTGGGATAAAGGACAGATTCTTCCACTGAAACTGGGCCCAGAGAGGCCAAAACTTGACATTTCTGCACAATGACCAGAACCAGTGACACACAGGGTGTGGGAAATGCCACACTGGTCCTGATCCAGCACCACTGGGAGCTCAGGGTGAACCACTGGGACCTCAGGGAGGTGGAGCTGAGCGGGGCAGGGAACAGCCCCATTCCCTCTGGGATGGGGCACTGGGATTGAAAGGTGTCAGAGTTTGAGAACGGGGCTCCAAGAGAGCAGGAGACGGGCTTTGGACACAGGATGGAGTGACAAGACAAGGGGGAATGGCTTCACACCTGAAAAGGGGAAATTTAGAGGGATACTGGGGAGAAATTCTTCCCTGTGAGAGTGGACAGGCCCTGGCACAGGTTGTCAGAGAAGCTGTGGCTGCCCCTGGATCCCTGGGAGTGTCCAAGGCCAGGTAGGACAGGGCTTGGAGCAACCTGGGCCGGTGGAAGGTGTCCCTGCCCGTGGCAGGGGGATGGAACTGGGTGGGATTTAAGGTCCCTTCCAACCCAAACCATCCCGGGATTCTGTGATTTCACTCGGGCTGGTTTCAGAGAAGGTGTTGAGGGTGGATCCCAACAAACTTCCCTATGATTTCCATGATCCTGAGGGTCTCCAGTACCCCCTGGGGTTCCTCACACCCTTCACCTCGTGGCTGCTGTAAGAGCAGTGATCACCTGGGTAACCACCCCTGGGCCCAGGAACAACCCGGGACACCACACTGGGAATGGAATGGTGCCACTGGAATGGGAGTGGGGATTAATGGTTAGGATGGAATCATGGAATCACAGAATGGGTCAGATTGGAAAAGCCTCTGAGACCCCTGAGTCCAATCACTCCCCCAGCACTGCCCAGGCCACCCCTGGCCGTGTCCCCAAGTGCCACATGCACAGGGTGTTGAATCCCCCCAGGGATGGGGACTCCCCGCTGCCCTGGGCAGCTGTGCCAGGGCTGGACAGCCCTTTCCAGGGGGAATTTCCCCAATATCCAACCTGAGCCTCCTCTGCCACAGCTGGAGGCTGTTCCCTCTGTCCTGGATAACAACAGTCACACCTGGAAAGCTGGATGACCACGTTCCCTGGTGGGATACCCCGAGTCCGGGCACGGGGGGTCCCAGGGACACGGTGGGGGCTGGGCCACCAAATCCCCCAAAACCCCAACAGTCCAAAGGGAAGGGACAGTGACCTGTGTCAGAAAGGGGCTGCCTGCTCCTGGGCAGGGAATTCCCAGGCTGGAAGGCCGTGGGCAGTGCTGATGTAATGCATAAGATGGAGCAAGACAAGGCCCTGAACTGTGCTGCTCTCGGCCGCTTCACTCGCTCTGGGGTTTTTCCCCCTTAGGCTTATAAAAATGCTATAAAAACGCTATAAAGGGTCAAAATGGGGTTTGTGAGTCCAGTGTGACCAGCGGTGGTGGTTGTGCCGTGGTTGTGCCGTGGTTGTGCCGTGGTTGTGCCGTGGTTTGTGGTTCCTGTTCGGGACTGTAATGGCAGGAATTGCCCTTGGCTGGCTCCCAGCTCGAGGGGTGGAGGTGGAGGGGATGGAGCGCTGCCGGAGGGCCAGGAGGTGTCCCACGATGAGGTGTCCGCGCCCAAAGCCCGTGTCCCCGTGCCCGTCCCCGTTCTCAGCCCGTTCTCCCCGCTCCACAGGCCTCCAGCACCGCCAGGATGAGCGCGGAGGGCGGGAGCAGGCCCCTCAAGGTGGGCTCCCGCGTGGAGGTCATCGGGAAGGGGCACCGCGGCACCGTGGCCTACGTGGGGGCCACCCTGTTCGCCACCGGCAAGTGGGTCGGGGTCATCCTGGACGAGCCCCGGGGCAAGAACGACGGCACCGTGCAGGGCAGGAAGTACTTCACCTGCGAGGAGAACCACGGCATCTTCGTGCGCCAGTCACAGGTGAGGCAGCGGCTCCCGGAGCCGGGGGAGCTACTTCCCGGGATTTGGGGGGAGCTGCTCCTGGGATCCTGAGGGGAGCTGCTTCCCGGGATTTGGGGGGAGCTGCTTCCCGGGATTTGGGGGGAGCTGCTTCCAGGGATTTGGGGGGAGCTGCTTCCCAGGATCTTAGGGGGAACTGCTTCCAGGGATTTGGGGGGAGCTGCTTCCAGGGATTTGGGGGAGCTGCTTCTGGGGATCCTGGGGGGAGCTGCTTCCCGGGATTTGGGGGGAGCTGCTTCCAGGGATTTGGGGGGAGCTGCTTCCCGGGATTTGGGGGGAGCTGCTTCCGGGGATCCTGGGGGGAACTGCTTCTCGGGATCTTAGAGGGAACTGCTCCTGGGATCCTGTGGGGAGCTACTTTGTGGGATCCTGGGGGGAACCACTTCTTGGGATCCAGGGGGAATCTGCTTCCCAGGATCTTAGGGGGAACTGCTTCCTGGGATCCGGGGGCATCTGCTTCCTGGGATTTGGAGGGATCTGCTTCCAGGGATCCTGGGGGGAACTGCTCCTGGGATCCTGGGGGGAACTGCTTTGCAGAATCCTGGGGGGAACTGCTCCTGGGATCCTGGGGGAATCTGTTTCCTGGAATCCTCAGGGGGCTCTGCTTCCCAGGATCCTCAGGGGGAACTGCTTCCTGGGATCCTTGGGGGCATCCACTCCTGGGATCCTCAGGGGGATTGGCTTCGTGGGACCCTCAGGGGGCTCTGCTTCCTGGGACCCTCGGAGGGATCTGCTTTCTGGGACTCTCAGAGGGGCTCTGCTTCCCAGGATCCTTGGGAGGACCCACTTCCTGGGATCCTGGGGGAGATCTGCTTCCCAGGACCCTTGGGGGAATCTGCTTCCCGGGATCCTCAGTGTCCCTCAGTGGGCTCTACTTCCCGGGATCCTTGGGGGGATCCGCTTCCCGGGATCCTCAGTGTCCCTTGGTGGGCTCCACTTGCCAGGATCCTTGGTGTCCTTCAAAGGGCTCTGCTTCCCAGGATCCTTGGTGTCCTTCTTCCCACCATCCTTGGTGGGCTCTGCTTCCCAGGATCCTCAGGTGCTCACCAAATAGAGGGAACCAGCCCTTCCCACCCGGGTGGGGAGGGAGAAACCAGTTCCCATTGCTCCCAGGGCCGTGGGGTCCCTGGGACTCCCCGTCTCCATGTGGGAGGGAGCAGCACACTCCAGGCAGGTGGAACCTCCCCTGGCACTGGGGCCAGGCCCCTCCACAAGGATCCTTGAGGTCTTGGTCAGCCCATGGGTTACTGTGGGGTGTTTCCAGGGGACTGGGGTGAAACCAGCCCAGTGAATTCCAAAGGGTTTTATTCCACCTCCCAGGGAAGTTCCCAGTCACCCCCTGGAGCAGGTGGAGTTTGGGATCGATCTCGGCGTTTACCTGGAAGCAGAGCCGGGGAATTTTCATTAAACTGTGTTTACCTGGAAGCAGATAAAACACCCTGGGTGGGTGCAGCTGCTGACTCTGCTGCTCCTGGGCTGCAGCAGGACCCAGGAGCTCTCCGGGGCAAACACCTCCCAGGTGAATTCCCTGTGTCACCTTCCCAAGGCAGAGGTGGCACTGGAGCCCCCAGCTCCGGGTGTCCCCAGCCCCACGTCCCAGCCAGACCCTGTCCTCCTCCCTGGAAAAAGGGGCTGCTCTGTATCCCAGCCCATGGCATCTCCAGCTCTTCCCGCTTTCCTGGACCCTCCTGCTCCCCCTCCGGGCACTGCCAGGACCTTGGCACTGGGTGACACACGGACCCAGCTCCCTTGTCCATCACTCGGCCTCACCTGCCAGCTGGGAAAGGCTTCCAGGGGTTTACAGGGAAAATGTTGGGTCTGCAGGAGCAGGAGGGTCGGGGGGTGCTGAGCACAAGGCTCAGGGATGGTCTGGATCGGTCTGGGAAGCTGCTCCCCAGTTCATCCCATGGATTTCATCCACAGGGATGATGGACAGGGCTTGGAGCAGCCTGGGCAGTGGGAGGTGTCCCTGCCCATGGCAGGGGGTGGCACTGGCCGGGATTTAAGGTCCTTCCCAACCCAACCCAGTCTGGGATTCTGGAGCTCTGTTGCCATGGAGCTGGGAGAGTTGGGAATGTCCAACCTGGAGAAGAGAAGGATCCAAGGAGACCTGAGAGCCCCTTCCAGGGCCTAAAGGGGCTCCAAGAGCTGGAGAGGGACTGGGGACAAGGCATGGAGGGACAGGACACAGGGAATGGCTTCCCAGTGCCAGAGGGCAGGGAGAGGTGGGATATTGGGAAAAAGATCCTCCCTGTGAGGGTGGTGAGGGGCTGGAATGGATTTCCCAGAGAAGCTGTGGCTGCCCCATACCTGGAAGTGTCCAAGGCCAGGTTGGACAGGGCTTGGAGCAGCCTGGGCAGTGGGAGGTGTCCCTGCCCATGGCAGGGGGTGGCACTGGGTAGGATTTAAGTTCCCTTCCAGCCCAAACCATTCCAGGATTCCCCGACTGTGCCTGGGCTGGCCGTTCCAAACATGCCTGTTCCTTTTTTGGTGTGTGGAACCACCATCCCTGACTTTGGCATCCCCTGGAGCTGCCTTTGGCTCCTGCCTGGCACAGGAGCTCGGCTCTGTCTGCTCAGAGGTGGCACTTCCCGGTGTCACCCGGAGCCAGCCCCGCTCTGTCCCTGCCCTGGGCCTCTCCTGCAGCTCCAGGGTTCCCACCTGGGCTGGGCCTGCTGGGGAACCCCCAGACCATTTGGAATTCCCACCCTGGTTTCCTCAGGCCTCGCAATTTCCGTGGCATCATTTTTCCCGGTCTCCCTGTGGCTTTTAATTCAGTTTTAATCATTCCTGGTGTTGGGGATCTTCCCAAAATGGAATCCCTGACTGACAGCTTCCCAGGTGATTTTGGTTTTTAAGCCAAACTCCCCGGTGGGAGGTGGTCATGGATCAGGCAGATTCCTGCAGGGACAATCCGGGAGGTGCTGATCTGAGGCACGAGGATGGTTCTCCCACAGGGATCTAATCCCTTCCAGCCCGGTTTTCCATGTTTATCCGGCAAAAATGTGTCCAAAAATAGTTCACAAAGAGATATCCCTGAACCTGCAATGGATATTCAGGGCTGTCAAATCCAGACCTTTGATTTTCCTCATTACCTGTGTGAATATTCCTTATTCCCAGCGGGAATAAAAGCCTGTGGCTGTTCTCAGGGAGCAATGGAAGGAGGATGGTTGATGGCAAAGCTGGAATGATGAAATCAAAAATTTGTGCCAAAACCATGGGATCTGCTCTGCTGAACCCACTGCCAGAGGGACCCATTCCCTGGACTCCCTGTTTGGGAATTTTTGGCAATAATGGTTGCTGTCCTTTTTCCAGATCCAGGTGTTTGAGGATGGAGCCGACACAACGTCCCCAGAAACCCCGGAATCTGCTGCCATGAAGGTCCCCAAGAGAGGTACAGCCTGGGTGGGAAATCCTTCCCAAAGGGGTGGGAAATCTTTCCTGGAGAGGTGGGAATTTTGTGCTGGAGGGAATGGGAAATTATTCCCCGAGGGGATGGGAGTCCTTCCTGGAGAGATGGGAAATCCCTCCTGAAGGGATGGGAAGCAGTTTCCAGGTGGAATGCGAAATCCTTCCTGGAGAGATAGAAAATCCTTCCTGGAGAGGTGGGAAATCCTTCCTGGAGGGAGTGTGAAATCCTTCCTGAAAGGGTGGGAATCCTTCCCAGATGGAATGGGAAGTTCTTCTTGGAGAGAGGGAGCTCTTTGTGGTGGGAATCCTTCCTGGAGGGTTGGAAACCCTTCC